AAGAACAAATAACACTCATCCAAATTATTTTCAAATGCTGCCGTATCTCTCTCTTCCAAGGCCCAAACCGTCCCAAATCACTTAGGAAAACGTGAATCCAAAAATCTACCCTCGACATCGACATGTGAGACCCTAACTTAGAAGAAATGCATATATGCCCGACACTAAAAAAACCCACTGTCAGCACACCAAAGCATTCCACCTCCTTTCAGTATTTCTTTAAAAGAAAAATAAAAAGGCGGGGGAGAAAACTAAGCTGCAAAGACTGGAGAATCTGCATAACTTTTAGTGGAAGATTATGACATAAATTTAATAACCTGGCAAGAACGATCACCTTGCACCGCAAAGCAGATGGACAGCAGAAGACCCTAAGTACTTTATCTAACGCAGAACCCGGAAGTAGCTCTTCACTCAAAAGCAGTCTTGGGAACCCAGGCGACTGCCAGTTCTCCAGAGGCCCCTCACTAGTCTAAAAGGCCCTCCTGGAAGTGGTCTCACTCCTGAGTCCACAGACCGGGGCCTGAGGGGGTTCTAGCCTGCTGCAGGGAGCAAAGGGGACAAGGAGGGACACACACTCCTCCCTAGAAACCGTGCCAGGTTTCCGTTCTTTAAAAAAGGAAGTCATCCCCGCCCTCCATCCTGCCCTCAATCCCCTCGCCGCACGCTCGTTATAGATGAGGAAGGTAAGCTGTGTCCAGGTTCTCTGGGGAGGGGAGGGTCTGGGTCCCGAACACGGCGAAGAGCCGGGGGTACACGTCCACTCCAGAGCCATTAAGCCACCTGAAAAGGTGACCCCAGCCCGGGTGGCGCCTGCCAGACGGAGCGGTCTCCCCCTCCCCAGGTCGCCATCACCTCCTTCTCCTCTCCGCCTACCCCTGCACTTTCCACAGCGGCCGCCGCCTCCTCGCAAGGTGTTCGCCTGGCCTGCGCCCGCGCGCCACTTCCGCCTACGTGTCCCCGCGCGCGTGCGCAGCTGTGCGGCCCCGCCCCCTCCCCGGCCTGGGGTCTCTAACGGCGAGGGCGCGGTTACCTTTCGCGCATGCTCTGTCTTCTCAGGAACATCGGTAGAGCGCAGCCAAGGTGGGCACCGCGGTGCCGCGAGCGCGTTCCTGCGCCCACTAAAATTTGCTTAGGAGCGGGGAGCGCCGATCGGGTAGAGTGTTCTTATCCTTTGATCGGTCCTCGCTTGTTGCTGGTCTCTGAGCCTCTGCAGCCTCCGGGTTGCTTCGGCCTCGTACTCCCGGGTCCCTCCCCCCGTGGGCCACCACGCTTGGGGCCACTTCCACTGCCATGGCCCTTTGCTGATATTTGGGAAGGAAGACTAGTGGAGAATGTTGAACCCGGAATTAGAAACACTGGGGTTCCCTCTTCCCTCCTCTTGATCCAGATGAGATGGCATAGTCACCCTACCTGTCTCTATTATGTTCTTGCCTGACTTGCACCTGCTTTCTGGTGACAGCGGACTGAAGTCGCACTTGGGTTGCTTCTGACGTTATAATTCACCTTGTAGCTACAGCAACCCCAGGCCTTCCAACGTGACACGAAAGTTGACAGCATTGTTAACACAATGTCACTTACTGCTCAGAATGTACATACATCCCGTAGCTTTGCCAGCCATCAACACTAAACATTTATCCTGCATTTAGGGTTACATCTACGGTCGCTGAGATGTAATGACATGAACCCCAAGATGGGATAGCTGCGATAGCTTTAGGTAACACTAAGGTGGCCCGGAAGGCAAAGATTACTGTAAGGAAGCCAGAACATTTTTTGAGTGCATGATTTGGATACCCATAGAGGGATGGGTTGGATTAATGTATATGTTAACATCAAGTCAGTTTCGCACAGCTTTGACAATTTCACAGGCATTATACAGAAAGGGCAACATTTGTATTTTGTCTTGGGTGTGAGGGTTTATATCAAAGACTGGCAGATATCTCCTAGTATAAGCGAGGTGAGTGTGGCTAGGCATTTTTATTTAATCCTTACCAACCTGGTACAAGGTCAGTGTTATCAGCATTTTATAAATGTTGAAATTAGGACTTAGAGAATTTTAATTTCCCACTGAGACAGTAAATGACAAAGCCATTAACGATGCCATACTGTTACCTGAATAATGTGGACTTAAAGGCATTTGAACAACAGTTCTTTATTGAGCACCCATTAAATGGGCATATGCAGAGTTTGTATACATAATCCATAAATTACAAGTATGGGTTCCTTGCCCTCAAGGAGTTGTGGGCACAAAAGAAAAGGTAAATGTCAGCATAGAACAACTTCTTGTACAAGAGACATCATAAGTTACCCTCTACTTCTGCCTGGACAATTACCATAGCCTTTCTGACAGGACTTTCTACTTCCCGTTTATTTCTCTACTTCCAGTTTCCATTCAGCAGCTTGCTGTTTGCGCCTCCCCCATGTATTATGAGAGCAGAGATTTTGTCTCAGTCACAGCTCTATTGCCATCATCTAGAACAGAGTGCTTGGTACAGTCTGCACTCAGTAAATAGTTGCTGAGTGAATTACCAAGATGCAATGCCAAATGAGGGTTAGGACAGGAGTATGGAAATCCAGAAAAAGTAAAGTATTGGCTGGCATGGCTTATGAAAGCCTCTTCTAAAGGGCAGAACCTAGATGATGAGGATTCCTATGGCTTTGAAATGGGGGAAAGGGGAGGGAAGGCAGTCCGAGCAGAATCAACCAAAATAAACAGAGACATTAAACAGGCAGTAATCAGATTTACAGTAATGCTAATATGCTGATCTCCATGAGCAAAACTAAGACAGGAAAGCAGCTAATAACTGGTGTGTGAAAATTCAGCCTTGCCTCACCGAGGGCTCATGTATCATTTCCCTCTTTACTAGCAAATTCCATCCTTCCTAGATCGTATCCATTAGCTATTATCAATTCCAGACAGACTGGCAAATACATTTAGAGCATAGTTGGAATTTGTTTTAAGCTATGAAAAAGAAAATACTGAAAATGACATGGAATTTAATGTCTGGACGTCCTCAAAACCCAAACCAGACCAACCCAAACCAAACCAGAAAAACAACCCAGGGAATTGGGAATCATGAGGTCTGCATCCAGGAGGCTATGGAAGCTGGTGGAGGACTCATAGCTGTTTTTCTTGGACAAGCTGGGGTTTGCACATTATCTACCTGGATGACTGTTCAGGGAATCACTAAACACATTTAAAGGAAGAACAGCAATCATTTAACAGAAAGCAGAAAAGAGGAGAAAAGGTGAAATGTAGCAGTTGTCAAAAAAAAAAAAAAAAGGGGGGGATCTGGGGACAGACATGTACAGAGGGAGGGTCATGTGAAGACAGCCAGAGAGAGGAGAGGAGCCTCAGAAGACACCAATCCTACTAGTACCTTGATCCTGAACTTCTAGCCTCCAGAACTCTGAGGAAATAAATTTCTGTGGCTTAAGCCACCCATTCTCTGGTATTTTGTTACGACAGCCCTAGCAAAGAAATACAGCCAGTGCAATATTTTTACATGTCAGATGTGAGGTGAATGACAGACTGAGTAGTACTTGTTACTGAGTCGGTTTTTAACAAGTGCTGACTCCATTACATCACTGTGATGCCCTAGTGATGACCACTGTGGGAAACTGAAGATGTGCAGCAATGAACTGACTGTCGACTCCTAAGAAATTCATAGTCCTATTGTGTCAAAAGCCTGTGGTGTCTTGACTCATGTTCTGAGCATCACCTCCAATTTTGGACTTGGTTGCGGGGTCGGTTTCATGCAAACTTGTCACTTTTCCCTGATGGCTTCCTTTCTCTATCATTCTTTGCTGTCTGCCCGGAGTCTCCTCTAAAAGTTTGCTAACTCCCATGACAACAACGCACTCCTGGGTTGGCCTTCAACCAACGGTGACAGTCCCCGATGGGTAAAGCCTCCTGCTCTTACCCTTTAGTGAGGCAGTTCTGGAGGGCCATTCTGTGTGCTTCTCAAGAGGTCCTGGGGAAACTGCATCCTGGTTGCCCAGAGCAGCAACTTTCAAACTGCGTTCTTAGACCATTTCCTATACCTTCCTTTCATTCCTGCACTGCTTCTCACTGGGATCATCTTCCAGATGGCCTGGGCACACACATGCAGCTGTCTTAGGTTACGCTTTTTAGGGAAACCAAGCTAAGAAAGTTAGTGTAGGAAGAAAGTCTCAAATGCAGCCCCTCAGGTGACTCACTAGTCAGATGGCGACACCGATACGTCCGGGTGTGCTGGGGTATCACCATCACTAAGGCTCTTCTTAGATGTGGTGGACAGAAGGTGAAGATAAAACACTGGTCTGCATGGTAGCTCTAGCATTTGAGTGGGAAGAGATAAGGACACTTAGAAGATGGCAGAATTCGCTGGCTTTTTTTTTTTTTTAATTTTTTTTTCAATGTTTTTATTTATTTTTGGGACAGAGAGAGACAGAGCATGAACGGGGTAGGGGCAGAGAGAGAGGGAGACACAGAATCGGAAACAGGCTCCAGGCTCCGAGCCATCAGCCCAGAGCCTGACGCGGGGCTCGAACTCACGGACCGCGAGATCATGACCTGGCTGAAGTCGGACGCTTAACCGACTGCGCCACACAGGCGCCCCCCTTTTTTTTTTTTTTTTTAAACTTTCATGGTCAGCCAGCTCTCAGCTCAGGGCTCACTGGGAGATGTATCAGCATTTAAGGAGACCCTCATCTCTTGCAGCCACAGGACAGGGTGCTAAAATCATGTTCAAGATTTAATTCTAAGGGTGGCAGAGCTTCTTGGTAATCCAATGTGTATCTTTGACAGATCTCTAATGTTAGGGTCAGGGGAGGAGAAGGATCCTGAGACTAAGAAGGGGAAAGTTACGTGGGTGATCTTGGGAACCTTAAACCTGGAAACTCCCTTAATCCCTTTGGGTTAGTAGAAGCAACCCTTACCCCCGCCCCCCACCTCCAACACACACACCCTTGTTTAGGGAAAATCACTCCCACCCCCACCTGAAGACCATGAAAAGACCTCATCAGAGACAGGTGCTTGACAGGGTCATGCTTATCATCAAGATCTGCTCCAATCTCTCCTCATTGCCTCCAGACTAAAAATTAGGGTGGGCTCTTATTATAGCCTTAGTGGGGAAGTGCAGTCCCTTCTTTGGCAGGAAATGGTTTTGTCACCCAAAGAATCACTAGATCTAGCCGATAAGAACCGGCAGCAATCCAGAGGACACAGGCTAGAATCTGGGAGTGGTTATTGCAGGTATTGGATTTTGTGGGGTAGGGAAAGGGGACAAAATATCAGGCTGGATAATGGAGGGTTTAATGACATATTAGTAGTCTCCATGATTCAATTTAATAGCTGGGCAAGGTCAACTAGAGGCAGTCCCCATGCCCTGCTGAGATGGTTCACTGAAGCTTAAATGCAGTGGAAGCCCCCAGTAAATGAAACAGGGTTGGCAAAATGGTCTTGACAGAATATTGAGGAAGGAATCAGGGAGGTGGTATTTTTGGAGTGAATTTTTAATGGGAGAGCAAAGAACCCGACATGTGACTATATTGCCTGGGAAGGCTAGGTGGGCACTGCCCTCAATAAAGCAATAATGAATATTCTTTGAGAAGTTTAGGGTCCTCTATAAGCCCAGGCTGAAGTAGGAGATGCTTCCATGGAACAAGGATCCCGAATAATCAGCGGAGGATGACAGGGGTGAGAGGATTCCAGAAGAGCAAAAGCCCTGTGGTAGCATTTAGCCAACAGAAGGTGGATACAATTACTAAAACTAGTAGCAAAACCAGAGTGGCATCGGGTTGCCTTGGTCTGCAGGCTCACAGTCAAAGTCTTTCTAACAGTAAGGCAGATGTGTATTTAAGCATATTGTTCACCTTGAGTAGCCATAAAAACAAACAGAAGAAGTAGTGAGCAAAAGGCTGACATTAACTGCCTTAATACGAGTAACCTCACATTCAGAC